GCCTCCACAAGCAAGCAGGGGTCGACTGACGGTCACGTCGAGAAGGTGCAAGCGCATGAGTCCAGCGCCAGTCAGCAGCAGCAGTCCGCGCACGCCGAGGCTAAGAAAGCTGAAAATGATAAACATACTCAGGCCGGAGTCACTGGCGAAGTGCATGCCGCTGGCGGGCACGTCGAAGTGAAATCGGACGTTAAGTCGGGCGGTTCGGAGTCGCACAGCGGCTCTGCCAAGGAGGCGAGTTCATCGGGATCGAGTGCTGCTAAGGCCAAGAGCGACACTGAGGTGTCCCAGGATGGCGTCAAAGTGAGCTACGAGTCCAGCAGTTCCACTCAGGGTGGCTCCGAGTCCCAATCCAGCTCGTTCAAGAGTGAAAGTGGCGGGTCGTCGGAAGTAGAAGTCGTCATGGAGTACAGCGAGGAATAAACTTATAAATAGTTTTGATGGTGATATTGATTAGCTTCACAAAATGTAGTACAATCTTTCGTGCAGAATTAATTCATTGCATCATCATATCATACATGTCAAGAGTATTTCCTAAATAAAAGTTTACGAAAAGTATACTTGTGTTATATCTTTAGCAGATGATGGCACCTTACACACTAAGACTAAACATTATACATTCGTAAAGGAAGGTTTTCTAAATAAATTGCACGTCAATGCGATGAAATGTGTCTCCCAGAACTAAATATATTCCCTCTCCGGTCCTGTTCAAAACGTTAGGAAATACAAAGAGGTAAAAGTAACAGACGGATATTGTTTTTGCAAAGAGAAAGTGAGGAGAGAAGTAGAAGGGGGCACACCAATGTTCATGCTTTGTGGGCAGGTCAACGTGTCAATCAAATGTACTTTTGATGTTTTCTAAAAATTAAACATTATCTGGCATTGCAAGTTTTTTTTTTAAACTCACGAATATGTCAATGTGGTCATGGTTGCGCGGTGCCAGTGCGAGTCGGGATGCACGCGGCGCGGCACGCGAAGCAATCCCCTCCCCTCCCCCTTTCCTCCCCCGATCCATTCCGCTTGCCTAAGGGTATTATTATTTTATTGTATGTTATGTGTTCTAGTGGGAAACGTATTATCTGATAAATAATGTGGAGTGCTGTGCAAGTCCCAAAGCGTCTCTCCCCACAGACTAGTGAAGAAAGCTACATTTTACAAAATATTATTGTTGTTTTTTTGCCGGCCGAAACGTATTTTTCTTTTCAATTTCCAAGTCACATTATTTTCTTTATCCTGGCGTTTGAACGTCATTTTTTGGAGGGGATGTTCCACGTTTTGGAGTAAGTAAAACTAGTAAAGTTTTGTTATCAATAATTTATTACAATTATCACACTTCTCGACAATCAACCATTCATCTCTTTCACATTTTCTCACCCCTTCAACAGCTCACAATTACTGGCAAGGACAGGGTTGGGCGCTGGCGTACTGGTTGCTGCTGTACCTGACGGCGTTCTGTACGTTCTGTACGTACTGGCCGTGCTGGCTCTGGCTACCGCTGCTGCTGCTCGACCCGGCGCCGAGCTTGGTGCACAGGGTGTTCTGCGACTGGGGCGAGGGGTTGTAGGTCACCTGGGCGGTGAAGGACCCGTCCGCGTTGTACACGGTCTTGACGGGCACCGTCAGCACCGAGCCGTCGGGGGACACGATGTTCTCCCAGGTCACCTTGGTGTAACCCTCCTTGGCCGGGGCGGCGCTCTGGTGCTGGACCGAGGACGAGGACGAGAAGCTGCCGCTATTGAAGTTGCCCTTGGAGCAGCTGCTCTTCTCGACGACGTAGGTCTTGCCGTCAGCGCCCCTGATGAACTCGTACTCTGTGCTCGAGGACTGGCCCCACTGGGTGCCGCTGGGCGCCTGGCCGTTGTTTCCCCATGTGGTCTGGCTGGTGCCGCTGCTGCTGCTGCTGCCTTGGCCGTCCTCACCGCCTGGGTAGGATTTGGGCACCAGGAAGGTGTTGCCGCTGCCGTCGGTGATGACCTTGTACTGGGACTGCGACTGCTGGTTGTAAGCGGACTGCTGGTTGTTTGCCGGCTGGTAGGCGGGGGTGCCGGGCTTGTACCCGGAGGACCCGGAGGAGGTCGACGATTTCTGAGAGTCGTCCACGACGTACGCCTGGATGGTGTTGCCGTTCGAGTCGGTCAGGGTGACGGGCTTGAGGGATGAGCCGGCGTTGGTGGCGCTGCTGCTGCTGCTGCTGCTGCTGCTGCTAGCGGAGGCGGTCGCCTTCGATGATCCGGAGGGGGATGAGCCGGAAGTCGAGGATGAGGACGAGGCGGATGAGGAGGAGGAGGTCGAGGAAGAGCCCTGGTTTTTGGGGTTAACGGGGACCAAGTGCGTGTTGCCATACTTGTCGACCACCTGCTTGTAGACCACGTTCACGTTGTTGTTGTTTGTCGACACGATGGTCACGTCGCCGTTCTTGTTGATGACGTACTCGGGGTTGCCGGTAGAGGGAGCGGGCGTCGTCGTTGTGGTCGTCGACGTGGTCGAGGATGATGAGGAAGAGGAGCCAGAGCCCGGGACAATCTTACCGGTCTTGGTGATGTAGTACGAGAAGTCGACGGACTGATGTCCGTTCAACTGCGACAGGTTCATGACCTTGCCCTCCTTGGTGATGCCGAACTGGGCGTCGCTGGGCATCTTGGAGGACGAACCACCGTTGCCGCCGTTGGCGCCGTTGGTGTGCTGGGCGGGGATGGGGACCCTCACGAGCTCACCAGCCGCGTTGTACGTGAAGTAGTAGTTGTTGGTAGAGTGGCCGGGAGTGCTGCCGCTGTTCCCGGAGTAGGAGGGGGTGGTCGTTGAGGTGGTTCCGGATGAACCGCTGGTTGAAGAGGGAGTGGTTGAGGGCGCGGCCGTAGTCGTCGTGCTGCTGCCGCGGCCGCCCTTGGAGAAGTTCATCACCTCGCCGGTGTTGGTGATGCCGAACTGGATGTCCTTGCCCTTCCAGTCGCCGGAGGACGGGATGGCGTGGCCGTCTCCTGTGATGAAGTACACGAACACGGTCTGGCCAGAGGTGGACCCGGTCGAAGAGCCGGAGCCTGTCGTGGTGGGGGTGGCAGTAGTGGTCTCGCCCTGGCCGTAGCCGGAGCCGGAGCTAGTCGTGGTGGAGTCACCTCCGTTCTGGTTGCTTGACGGAGTGGTGCTGGAGGAGCCGCCGTACTGGCCGCCGTTCTGGCCTCCGTTCTGGCCGCCGTTCTGGCCGCCGGACTGGGTCGTGGAAGAGCCGCCGTTTTGGTTGTAAGATGAAGGCGTGGTGGAGGAGCCGCTGCCGCCCTGGTTGCCGGACTGAGTGGTGGAGGAGCCGCTGCCGCCCTGGTTGCCGGACTCGGTGGTGGAGGAGCCGCTGCCACCCTGGTTGCCGGACTCGGTGGTGGAGGAGCCGCTGCCGCCCTGGTTGCCGGACTTGGTGGTGGAGTCGCCGGGCTGCTCGGTTGTGGTGCTGGAGCCGCTGGAGCTGCCAGACTGGTTGTTGTTCTTGGTGTGCTTCTCGGTGTTGGTGCTGTGCGAGCTGGAAGAGCTGGACGAGGCGCTCGAGGTCTTGCTCACGGTGTTGCCGGAGACGACCTTCTTGCTGGACGCGGAGGCTGAGCTGGCGTCACTCTTCTTGTCCTCCTCGCTCTCGTCCTCGGACACTTCGGACACGCTGCCGTCGGCGTTCACGACCTTCTTGGTGTGCTGGTGGTTCTTCTTCTTGTTCGCCGAGGAGGCGGCCGCTGCCGCAGCGGAGGACGACTTGATGGAGCCGTCGGCTGTCTTCTTGTCGGACGAGGCCGAGGCGGACTTGGCCTCGGCGTGCTTCTCCTCGGTCTCGCTCGTCTTGTCGGACTCGTCGACCTGCTTGGGCTGCGCGGTGGTGGTCGTGGTGGAGTCGGAGTCGTAGCCCTGGCCGGAGCCCTGGCCGGAGCCCTGGCCGGAGCCCTGGCCAGACCCGCTGCCGCTACCGGAGGGCTTGGCGGTGGTAGTGGTTGATGCGTCGCTGCCGTTGTCGCTGCCGTTGCCGGAAGACGAGGACGAAGATGACGAGGACGAGGACGAAGAGGAGGAGGAACCGCTGCCGGAGGGCTTGGCAGTAGTGGTGGTTGCGTCGCTGCCGCTGCCGTTTCCGTTTCCGCTTCCCTTGCCGCCGTTTGAGTACGAGGACGACGAGGACGAAGACGAGGACGAGGAGGAGGAGGACGAGGTAATCAGGGGCTTGGTCTCGCCGTTCGGAAGCTTGATCTTCAGCTGGTTGGTGCGGTAGTTGTTGACGATGTTGACGTAGCTGTCGGCGTGGATGCCAGCCCCGTTGTCCAGGAGAAGGATGGCGCTCGGGGAGTTATTGGCGATCTGCGAGATCTCCTCCAAAGAGTTGACCTCAGTCATCTTGCCGTTGGGCAGGATGACCTGCACAGCCTTGTGGGACTGGATGGTCTTGACGACGGAAAGGTAGTCGTTGTACGCAATCTCTGTGCCGTCCGGCAGGACGACCTTGAGGTTGGAGGTCGCGGAGTTTGAGGACGACGACGTCGATGACGAAGATGAGGAGGACGAGGAGGAGGACGACGACGACGACTTCTTGGAGTTGGAATCGGTCTTGGAGTCCACGATAAAGTCACTGAGTGGCTGCACATCTCCGTTGGGCAGTTGCACGTAGTACTGGGTGCCGGCCTTGTCGGAGTCGGTCTTGCCCGCGCCGCAGCTGCTGGCGCTGTTGCTTACGCTGAAGGCGTTGACGGCCGACTGCTGCTGGCCGAACGCGGACTGGAGGCTGTTGGCCAGGGGGTTGTTGGGCAGGTGAGCCTGGCCGCCGGGGTACATGTAGTAGAAGGGGTTGACGGGCAGCTGGGCGTGGCCGCCGTAGAGGGCCGGGTGCGGCATGCCGCCCAGGTTGATGGTGGCGGAGGCCTGGTTCTTGTTGTTGCTGGGCGAGCGCAGCGCGTCGCTGACCTGGGTCAGTGCCTTGCCGGTGCTCTCGAGCAGGCGCAGGACCTTCTTGTTGCAGGCCGGGCTGACCTCGTGCTCCCCCTGAACCTGGTCACAGGGGCAGAGGCCGCCAGCGGCCACTCCGACGGCAGCGCCATGGGCGCGCTGGAAAACGACGAGGAAAAAAATACGCGTGTCAGAAAAAATAAAAACGGCAGGGTAGGGGGGCGTGTGACAGAGTAAAGTGCATATCGTGAAGAAAAAGCCTCAGTCGTCCATTTTCTGTCTTCGTCAGCTCAGAGGGAACGCACGCGTATCATGAATAACCCAGGGCAAAAGGGCTAATGGTACAATAAAAAGAAATCGACACCACGATGAGCGACGGAGAAATGAGGCTATAGATGCTATTATATTTGCTTACAAATACGGGAGAAAAAGGGGGGGGGGGTAAACTCGCGATCAATGCCCGCCCGCCCTCCTCCTTGATCCTCCAGAGAAAAACGTGCAGTCAGCCGATCGGCCACTATACCAATGTAGCCTACCGCGCACTTTTGTAGTTGTACTGCAGGGCATGCAGGCGAGCGCGTGGATTTGCCCATCAC